CAGATATATGCCACAAAATTTATTTTCAGAGTTAGCGAGTACTTTCGACTATAAGTCTTTATCAAGCTATATATATATATATAGAATACGGTATATATATATAAGAATACGGTACTGTACTGTGGGCCTTTTATTTTTTTAAGAGACATTTAACAATATCTTAATAGTAACTTGAAAAGTGCCACGATGACCTTCGTGCTAGGCCGATAGCGGCCAGTGTAAGGTGAATCATGTAGTGTACCTTCCTTGACCCTTGTACTATTATTAACCTGAGAAGATAGCGCATTAAAACCATTGCGAACTGGAAAAAGCAGATGTTCGGTTTCGTGATCTTAAAAGCAGTTACAAGTACTTCCTCGTCTTTGTTGTTAATGTTTGTTTCCTCTTTATTTTTCTAATACTACTACTAATACTACTACTACTACTACTACTACTACTACTACTACTACCACTACTACTTACTACCACTACTACTACTACTACTACTACTACTACTACTACTAATACTACTACTACTACTACTACTACTACTACTACTACTACTACTACTACTACTACTACTACTACTACTACTACTACTACTAACTATTACTACTACTACAACTATTACTATAAATAATAATAATAATAAAAATATTGTTTAAGGGTTATTATAATAATAATAATATGATAATGATAATCGTCATTGTTTTATAAATAGGAAATTAAATATTCTATAACGTATTGTATTCTATTCTTTAAAAATGAACAAATATGAACCTGGATTACGTTATGATTTAATGAAAAGGATGACGAATAAAGAATAATCACACTGCCCAATGAGTGAATCATACCGTGGAGAAAATATACAGTACACCATGGAGTTCCCTGTAGTTACACATAAGTGCTAGATATTTTGTAATCTAATTTCCAACGCAAAATACTCTGACACGTCCTATACGCGTGACCCCGAACCAATCTATGAATGGAGGTCAAATGAAATTCGACGTGAGTTCAAGTACATGTACAATAGTATAAGGTACGGTCTGTTAAGACCAGGGAATTGTTCTAATAACAACTCCCTGGTTAGACTTTCAGTGAAACAAAATTATAAATATTTTAAAAAAAATGACAAGTCTAAACATGGTCTTATGTTATGACAAAGGATTGTTTATAACGTGTATCATGTCTATAGATAGCCATACTCTATACCGGTTCAAGAGCCGAACAATGGAAAAAACCTGCATGTACTGTTCAGTACTGATTTCTCGGCAATCTTGCGTAAATACATTCTCCTTATATGGCATTCCCATTATTATTTGACCTCTACATTGCCTATTCAAGAGCTAAAAATAATGGAGCATTCCTAGCTACGGTTTTGTACTACAATGTTTTGCCTGATGATGTCACCATAACAAAGGCGAACTTATATGACGAAATACGCTCTGATTGGATGATGATGAACAACGGGTGGAGACCCGCATCCGGAACAATGAGGTCATTTAGAGACGCGTACTGTGATTGGCCAATCGATCAATTATTTGACGTCATTGACCAGCAATATACCTAATTTCCTTCCATGCAACGGTTATTCATCAAGCCGAGACGACAGCCGTAGGAACTTCGAGATATTTGCTGTCTATTTCTAGACCTATTTTAGATACTGAGGGCTACATAAAGGATTTTTTATATAATACTTCGAGTTCATCTTGGTCGATACATTTTTGTGAATTGTGTTAGCCGAGTAAAACTAAAAGGAGTGATATAATGGCGTCAGAAGCACAGCTGCTTATCAGTGTATCACTGAAGAAAATTGCAGGATCTCGCCATCAGAAGGGAGGAATTTGCCTTCGAAAAAACCTACTCGTAGCCGGTGTACTAAACTCGGCAAGGACAATATATTACGAAGATATGTGCAATAAAATGTCTAGAGCAACGTCTTATATGGACACCGAGGAGACGAAGGGTGTAGAGGAAGAAAATTTTGATATTCACGAGGAGAGTTCGGTCGAACAAGAAGCGTCAGGCCCGCGTGACTTGACGCCGGCGGGAAACAATAGCGTGGAGGTCGAGCTTCCCGCTGTCGAACAGCCTGAGTATACAGACAATGAATACGCTATAGTTACGCAACCAGAGCTTAGAGGTGAAGCAAAACTTGAAGAAGCTGAGAAAGTAACTACCGACAGACCTGCTCTACTTGATATTTCGAATAATGTTGTTAAAACTTCATCTATTGAAAACAATTCAAATTGCAGTTCTTGTAGTCGAAAACGGCGTATTTCAAACGATCATCAAACGGACAATTTATCAAATGCCAAAAAGGCACGCACAGACTGTGGTGTACAATCGACAGGCGATATGTCTGAAAATCAACAATCTATTACAAGTTTAGTGAACATATTTAGGGCTGGATTTTCAGGACTTTCTAAAGAGGAATCCTCCGAAAAAACAGGTGCTACAACAAAAGACAATCGAATTACAACATATGTTTCTGGACTTACATCAGCATTCCAGGCGATACAGCGACCGATAGCAGCATTTTGATTTGCCTTTATGTTGTTGGGGATATTTTGTTACGTTTATGGACATTAATTTATTTTCTTGTCAATTAATTACGCTTTACTATGATTTATTTCGTAATACTATATGCGAGATCTTAGTTGGATCATCGTATATCCCGTATTCAAGCGTAACTCGTCTTGTGGACAGGATATATCCAGTGCAAGGATATACACATAGGGCCTAATCATTATAATTATTTATTGTTTAATTAGGCCTTTGAAAAAAGCCTCGTGTATAAATGACCTTCCAGATGCATTCTGCACCACGTCATATCCGTGCTGTTTATTTCATACTATTTCCGTTCGTAATCTTTATTTCCGTGTTGTCTCTGGAAAATGTATTTCCAATACTATGTGTTGAAACTACTCGAATAAAGATGACGATTAACTGTCATTGATATATCAATACATGTGAAAGTGTTATTCTTTTTTTTCTAGAGTGTGTTCTAGAGTTACCCATAGTGTGAGAGAATAAAATGTGGGAGTGGATATGAGAGCCTAAAGCTATTCATCATAAATGACCTTAAAGGTATAAAAATAATTGTTGCAATTTACATTAATTAAAAGTTATAATTCCCAACCTATATACTAACGCACCATGACTACTGTTTACACTGTCCTCTTCAGCATCCTACTGTACATGATCGTAAGAGAACGATGATACATCAGATCACGAATTACAATTGCTGTACTACCCGCATCAGCTACATAATTTGTTATTATGTACACTATTATGCTGTGTACTGTACATTAATACTTTGATTATTGGGATTGGTGGCCCGAGTCTCAGTGGTCAAAAATAAAGATTTGTTTTTTAAATTCTTAAATAGGCTTATGAATATCTGGGAGCTACTGCAGTCTACACACAACCAAGACTACCCTTTCCCTGTCCTTATCACATCCGTTACATGAGTAATCGGGTCACGCATCCCTTTTATACTTGATAATTCGACGGTGCATATTTGTATTATGCTTGGTGTGGGAGGTCTAGGTCCCAAGGTCCAATGGTAATTTAAACTATTATTTTTAGGTACAGTATTACTCTTTTATCACATGACGGAAACTGCTGAGCGTGTGATTTCATTAAATTCGTAATCGTCAGTACCATTGTTATTGTTGTAGAGTGACGCCTACGTCGTTGTGGCATTACACTAAAGGTCTACATACAGTATATTATTATGTGCTAACTGTCATAGTGTAAATGATAATTGTCATACAGTACTAGTATATGCCTGTTCAATTTATTAGATCCACTTTGATACAGTTGCACTCATACACAATTCATGGTGCATCCATGTAAGTAAACATACACAAATAAAATACTGTACAATTAAAAAAAAAGAATACAAAGTAAACTAAGACTGAATACAAGGATAGTACTGTAAAATTAGCGGAAATATAAACTTAACAATAACAACAATTAAAAATTAGTACAGTATAGGCCTATATATGTGGACTACATTCCCGAAATAATAATATCAACAACAATAATAAGAATAATAATGATAATTATTAGACAGTATTTTTACATTGATTAGTATAGTCGGAGTTCCGTTGACATAAATAACAAATATATAGGCATATACTGTAACTTAATATACCGTAGACCATTTAATGACAAGAAACTAAATGAAATAGACTTATATTAAAACAGAAAGATGAATAAAGCGGTCATGATAAATAAATATTGGCTTATGAGTCATTTTAATAATGAGTAGTTAATTAGTGATTCTTATTCAATATTCATCATAGATATTTGTAGAAACAAGTGTTTCGGTTTAATCTGTCATGTTCTCAGCAGACCACGGGTTTCTGGGGCGCGAGGAGTCGGTTTGGGCCATAGTACACTCATCCGACGTTGTTTTTTTTATGCCTTGGCAGACGATCCCGGAACGTGTGCGACGTCAAGGACACCTCCATTCTCCATTATTAATAGTCACATTACTTTCGCTTACAGCATATGTCACGCCAAAATACTTCCGAACCTGTGTGTAGGCAGGCGTATTTCACAATCTTTATGGGAATGTTTCAATGACGAAGGTGAAAATTTAGCTATCGATAAATTAAGAGAATGTGTATTCTATTAACACTAACTAAAAAAAAAATCATAATAATAATTCCTTCCTGGAAATTCAATTTGTTCATTTACATTCGGTAAACAGACACGGAAAAGTTCCTGCCTTTCACAGACGTCGATGACATACGACGCTCAATATTGTAGAGGAAATTTAATATAATGAATTACGTATGGTTGACTACTTGAATGAAGTTAACTGATCACCAATACGCTGAACAGCATGTAGTAAACTGAATCATGGATTTACATACCTTCGGAAAACATTATAAACATAATTGTTAATTGTTATTTAGGTTGTTGAATATCTTAAATTGAGTCTCTTTCTCATCATCGGTATCATCATCATCAAGCACGTTTTGTCGTCGGACATTCCACTTTCCATACAATATTTTGTAATGGGTAGGATGGTACAGTAGTTTAGTACTGTTCATATTTTAGAAAGTTCTGTTGTGGGTTCCTCTTTTTCTTGTTTTACTTTTCTTTGAATTTCTTTTTGGGTGATCTTGGGGTACGGTATTATCTGACAACCTTATAAGGTGTCCAAACCATATAAGTCGTCTTCTTTTAATTATAGTGTTCCACATTTCTTAATTTAATCTCTTCTCAAAAAGAAGTGTCTTGTAAAACACATTCTTATGATTATTTGATATTTTAAAGCGATCTATATTTTGTAAAACTAATAATACCATGTATTCACTGTAACTGTATAGATTTGTATTTAAATACTGTAATACAGTAATAATGATAAATTACAATTTTACAGTAGGCCTATACCAGATTTCTGTCGACCATAAAGCAGCAAGAAAGACACGACGTAATCCGGTGTAACACTCCGATTAGCGTAGGCTTGTGTACTTGTGTAGAAGATTTTTATGGCATAACAGTCTAATGTTTTGTTTTTAATGACACGGTTGTACATTCCATCAAGTATGACCGAACCGTGAACATTTCGTTTCTATTAATCATAAATTTCTACAATAGAAGAAGAGGTGACCGTTCTAATACGCCAACACAACGGGGTCAACGACCATACGTAGGCCTACAATTCACAACCAGCGTATCTGAATGACGTGTGTCGATTTAGCATTTATCAACAGAAAAATAAACATTCCATCATCAAAGGTAGGCTACGACTCAGTGGGTTTAACAACCGCGCCCTATCAACACACAGGTATTATCGGAACAACGGCCCATGACGCTTGCCTTATTGCATTGTGTCAGAAACAGTAGTACTGTATTCCGTTGGTATTAAAACGACTGAGAAAAACATTTCGAATTTTAGAGAAAATTCTAATAGGCCTAGGCCTATTTATAACTATCAATCAAACAACAAGGATTTATGTATATACGCTTATATCCACGGCAGAATGCAATGTTCAGTGGCGCTATGACAATGCGCAGGCGGAGTACACATTAACTGATGCTAATTAACAATGCTTGTAAGATTATGAAAAAAAATGTTTCACAAAAAAATAGAAAGTAGATAAAAACAAAAACCGAACAATTTAAATGTGTGTCAAAAACCTTTGAATGAGAGAGAGGAGATAAGTTTTTAACTTTTACTTAAACATTCTGACAAAAGACGAGGTTTTGATTTCAAAAGGGAAGAGCATTCCATAATGTGGAGCGCCACATGAGAATGTAGGCTACGTTTACCCAGATTTTTATGTCTACACCTGGCTTGCTCAAGAAGATGCTTGTAAGTTGATCTAAAAAGGCGAGGAGTAGGTTTATATTGGAGAAGATTAGAGAAGGTATTTGGGGGGCAAGAATGTTACAAGTAATATCTTAAAACATGTGTACTTTGCTTTTAGCCAATGTACTTTTTTAAAAACATGGCTTATACGTTCTCGCTTTTTGGTGGATGTAACCATTTTTGCAGCTGTATTGTAATAATATAATTACAGTAATGTTATTTGGTTATTTTTGCAGATATACAATAATATACCGTACTATATAGGCCTAAATAAACAGTATTTGATTCTGGATAGGAACATTTTATAATGTTATATTATTATTATTATTATTATTATTATTATTATTATTATTATTATTATTATTATTATTATTATTATTATTATTATTATTATTAGATATTATCCCTGGATAAAAAGCAAAGCAAATTATTCAAGACGGCATTGGGTATCAACACCATTGCTGCATGCTCTAAATCTACCTAAAATCAAAGATATTATTTTGTTTAATCAAATTGATCTCTTGTCACAATTGTTAATGATTCTAACTCTAGGGTATTTTATTGCCATCTCCTTAATTGCGAAGCAAAAAATAATATGTCGTATAGAAGTACTCATTGACAGAATCAAATGTATCCTTTGTTTCTGTTATATTCAATAACGTATACAAGAAACGTATATAAAGGCTGATATAAGAGTCACAATTGCGTAAACCATGGAATCTGTGAGGTGTAAAGAATTGCTTATATAATAATGATATTCATACAATCATTAATTTAACAAGAGAACTTATGTTCAAGCTTTCCTGTCGTATTTTATATATTTTTACCTTCCCCAGCCTTGGGGTATTTGTTGAATATATTGAATTGAATTATTATTATTATTATTATTATTATTATTATTATTATTATTATTATTATTATTATACCTTATGAAGTTTCTACTATTGCATTGTCACTCTTATGTTCAAGCTTTCCTGTCGTAGGCTAATTTCTGTCAAGAAAATAGTAAACAAACATTTAAAAAATAAAAAATAAACAACTAAAATATAAAAACTTTGGATTGTTACCGTAATTTTCAAAAGAATAATATAAGTTATCAATTTTCGATAACCACAAATTTAGAAAAGAAAAAAAGAAGTTTTTACAGATTTACAGACGTTAACAAGAGCATTTTAAATCTCCGTACCTTTGGTTGTTGTATAATGGGTGCTAGTTTCTTCTGATTAATTTTGTATTGTGAAGTTTTATTTTATTTTATATATTTTTATCTTCCCCAGCCTTGGGGTATTTGTTGAATAAATTGAATTGTATTATTATTATTATTATTATTATTATTATACCTTATGAAGTTTTTACTATTGCATTGTCACTCTTATGTTCAAGCTTTCCTGTCGTATTTTATATATTTTTACATTCCCCAGCCTTGGGGTATTTGTTGAATATATTGAATTGAATTATTATTATTATTATTATTATTATTATTATTATTATTATTATTATTATTATTATTATTATTATTATTATTATTATTATTATTATTATACCTTATGAAGTTTCTACTATTGCATTGTCACTCTTATGTTCAAGATTTCCTGTCGTAGGCTAATTTCTGTCAAGAAAATAGTAAACAAACAT